GTGAAACCGTGAGACCAAATCTAAAAATAATTTTAACATGCAAAATAAATGGAAAAATCCAAAAATTCTTTTTTTAAATATTATTTTCGGAACTTGAATTAACTAAAAAAAATAAAAAAAAATTCTATTTTTTTTGAAAAATACGTGAAATATTCTAAATAGAATATTACACTGTACATATTCTAAAAATAATTTTAAAATGCAAAATAAATGGAAAAATCAAAAAATTCTTTTTTTAAATATTATTTTCGGAACATGAATTAACTAAAAAAAATAAAAATAAATAAAAAAAATAAAAAAATGCGTCTCACGGTCTCACAAAATATAGGTGGTCTCAAATGAACCTAACCCTATATATATATATATATATATATATATATATATATATATATATATATATATATATATATATATATATATATATATATATATATATATATATATATATATATATATATATATATATATATATATATATATATATATAGGTAAAGTGAATATACCTAACAACCTTATATAAGCTTAGGTACCTAACTCCTTAATACTACATCGGTTGTATCATATTTACATTCTAATTGCCTAAGGTTCTTAAACTTCAACCCCATAACTTGATTACTTCCAAAATCTTTGGACTTTCAACAATATCTTTTTTTTACATCACGTCTTTCTATCGAATACCACCTATGGGCTTAATATCCTACCGCTACAAATGAAAGGATGTAGGAGAAATATAATGATGAATTTCCAAATTTTTTTGAAGTAAATCAAGTTTAGGGATGAAGTTTAATAACTTTGGATGATTGCAATGAAAATTTAATGCAAAATGAAGTAGTTTGATGAGGTTAGGTACCTAAGCTTATATAAGGTTGTTAGGTATATTCACTTTACCCTCTCTATATATATATATAACAACTTGAGCAACAAACCTCTTGAATAGTAGTATCGCCATAGTAAAATTTCACAAATAGACTTTGACCCCTGTCTCTTTAATGGAAGTATGCCATGTCATTCAAGGTTTTTCAAAATTAATTGGTCACAGAAAGCAAGTAACGGATGACTCGTAGCAACATAATGTAGTTTTTATTTGGGGTGCTGCTAATAAGACACCCCTTAGACACCCTATAATCATTTTTATAAAAAGTCAACCTATAATCAACTTCTTGTAATCATCTTTTTCGGAAAACAATGCAATTTCAACCAATAAAAATATTTCAAACATTCATTAGGGTTGTCTAAATGGTAAAATAGGGTGTCTTTTTAGTCAACACCTTTATTTGCTAAAGATAAATATATAAATATATTTTTATGAGCAATTCTAGAAATTGGTTAGATAACTCAATAAATTTTTCTTAGCATTAATGAGTTAGCTTTTAGATTTGAAGTTAAAAAAAAATAAAAATAAAAAAAATAAATAAAAAAAACCCAAAAGCTAAATGCTTATATTCTTAAAGGAATTTTTTTGTTTAAATTTAACCTTTTTTCTAAAAAAACAAAAAGTTAGAAATTTTCAAACTCTCGCTACCAAACAAATTAATACACTTGTTATTTTCATAAACGGTAAAAATTTATATTCCCTTTTTTATTTACAATATAGTAATATTTGATAAAACTTAGATATTTTGTTGTATATATTTAATTTCCCTTAAATTTCGTTGCATACGTGCTAATATAAATATAGTATGCGACTCATGTACCTACCATGCTACGATCCCTTCTTTTTGTTTGAAAAACATATAATTAAGACTAAATGTAAATTTCGTCCCTATAGTTAACAAAAAAAATATGGATAAGATCCAAAAACTTTTGAACTAGAAGGAATAGTCTAAAATTAAATCTTTTTGGTGTTTATGGTCCTTGAAAAAGTTGAAATGTCAGTTTTGCCATTTTATTTTTGTTTTTGTATATTTTTACATTTATTTGAATAGTTTTATTAATTTTAAATAAGAAGAGAAAGAAAAGGACCACCTCAGGAACCCCCTGAGGTCTTTGACCTAGGATGTCGTAGAAACCCTCCACGATCCTATATCTAAGTGCCTCGGGAACCCCCAGAGGTCTTCCATACACGATACACAAAAACAACTAATACATTGCATATCAAATAATTCAAATAGCATATACGTAACAATTAATGGGTCGGCCTTGTGAGGAGACTTACCTCTGTCTGCTGAACGCGAAAACTGCTCTCCTAACAATTCGTAGCCTCCCGTACTGAATAATAATATTAATCAATGTTAGTACTTTACTTAATCGAAGGGAAACCCCAAACCCCAAATCCTTCCCTAAGACCCCCAATCCTCCTTTCTTTGTTAAGGGGCCCAAAGTCCATGTCCAAAATCATAAATGGGCCTTTTGGCCTAATAAGGGCCAATCAATATATCCATGGCCCATAACAGATAAAATGGCTCATAATTCCCATAATGCAACCAAGTCCAATAACCAAATGGGGCTCAATAATTCAAAGGCCCAAAAACAGATCCGACCCATTTATGATGCTTACGCTCATCGTACCATCCTGGTACGCGTAGTGTACTGGGATTGGGACTTACGCGCAGCGTACACTAGGTTACGCCCAACGTACTACCAGATTAAGCACTTTCTCCATTAAGTGCTTAATACTCAATTCCTTTACGTCCAAAAGTTAGATCTAAGCTTGTTAAGACGTCCTAAGGCATAAAGTTGGCAACTTTATGTCTTTACATGCCTCATATACACCCAACACCACCATTGAGACCTTTTCAAGGTTCTTAACCCATGCATAAGGTCAAAACTCCCACCAAGACTCCATTTTTATTTTGCTACAGAACCAAGGGACCTCAGATATGTCATTTCCATCTTTTGGAGTTGCTTAACTCACAAGTGGAGGTCTAAAATCAATAAAAAAGGACAAAACTAGAAAACCCTAGCCAGATCTAGAGATTTAAGTGGAAAGATCCAAGCTTTTTACCTACAGGAACTCCTTAAGGTCGTCTATGTGCAGATTCTTAAAGCCAAATGACACTCCAAGCTTCCTTGACCACTTCTTCTTCTTGGATGAACACTAACTCTCAAGGCTCAAAATGCACTCACAAAGGATATTAGGGCTTCCAGGAACATTTGAAGGTGAAAGGAGCTGATGAGGGTGAGGCTCAAGTGAGTTAAGGGCATTTAAATAGGTCACAAGTCCGCAAATTAGGGTTTGGACTCTCGACACGTACGCCCAACGTACTTCTTGGTATGTCCAGCTCCTCCACGATCATCCATGCATAGTACGCTAAGCGTACACATAACTACGCCCAACATACTTAAAGGACCAATTATGACAAAATGGAAATTCTTCAAGGGTTTCAAGTCATACCAGGTTTAAGGCGTTACAAAAAAAAAAATCTTAATAAACAAAACCTTTTCTTTTAAATTCTTTTCTAAGTAAACTTTATTGCAAAATCAATGATCGTAAAATATATGATTTTTTTATGTGAAAAAATATGAATTTCTTGGTAATAATTTTCTATTTTTTAGAAAAAAAAATACTTTTTTTACAATCAGTTATATCTGATTTTCTAATTTTGAGCTTATAATCTTTACAGCTAAATCAATAAATAACTCATAATAATACATCAAAAAGCTTTTTTACAAGCTTTTTATTGAATTTGATAAAAAAAAAGGGCATTACTCGGTCAAATTCAAACTAGTTGATATTACAATCAATTAAACCTAGACTCAATCAAATAATCATCTATTAAGCAACCCTAAATCCTATTCTATATAATATGTATTTCTTTTTATATTAATTTTGATATTTCTTTTATCAATTTGTTATATTTCTTAACTATTTAACCAATCAATCAGTTGTCTGATGACGTGTCAGTTTTGATAATATGACATTTTGACATGCCATGTTGAGGTATCAAAGTTGGTAAAAGTGTTACAAATGACAATAAGTTTTCATTCGTTTCAATTTTAACACTAAGTTTTTGTTATTCAATTACGACACTTCATTTTTTATTCAAAATCGAATATCGTTTTGCTAATTTTGTTCACTGTTGACACTCCATTTTTTTGTTCAAAACCGAATCATTTTTTCAATTTTTTTCAGTTTTGATGACATGACATTTCATTTTTTTGTTCAATTTGAAACTGAAAAATAATTGTTTTACATTTGAAACCGTATATATATATATATATATATATATATATATATATATATATATATATATATAGGGTTATGTTATTTTGTTTTTACTAATTATTGTGTGCCAGAATGCACAGATCTGGACCATCGGATGAAATATAATCAAAGGTCATATTCTGAGGGTCTATGATAGTGGAATATGATAACATGTACTGTATAATCACACAAATTTCAACATAAGAGAATTTTAGTCAATTAACCCATATTAAAAAAGGAAATTTTCGGATTTTTAGGGATGATTAATTCCTTTATTTCTTAAAAATCTGAAAATTTTAAATTGATTCAAATTTAAAAACCCGATTTTATTCTGTCAGAATGATAGAATGCGAACCATAAACTAGTACATATATTTTTCGATTTTATTCTGTCGGAATGGCAGAATGTCAACCATAAACTAGTAAATATATTCTGAAAGAATACACAAATCAATTCTTGAATTAATAATATAACAATAATTACATTGTATGATTGTGATTCATTGAATAATAACAACATTCTGAAAGGAAATAAAAACATCAAAATCTAACAAAAACAGTAATCTATTCTGAAAGAATATTATTTTTAAGCAACACTTTATACATTGTAGCATAACACATTCTGGTATAATACACTCTCGTTCTATATGTTTTCTTCCTTCTCCACATCAATGTTAGCCTGTTCAAAACCTAAATCCACAAAGAAAAGATAATCAATTTTCAAAATTAAACAATTCAATGCATTATAATAGAATACAACAATAAAATATTCTTACGGAGTAAACTATTTTTGCAGAATGGTTTGAATATTCTTAAAGAATTTGTAACATATTCTATCGGAAATGATATAATAGAGAATGGTAATTACCGGATTTAATTTTAAGAATAATTCCAAAGCTAGGGTAGATAGGGTAAATATTGGATTCAAGTTGGAAAGGCTTGGTGGGGGAGGGACTAAACTTGTTAAAAATTATGAAAGTTTGATATGGAGCACGGGACTTGAACCCAATGATCTTCCCTCTCGTTTTAAGGTAACAACTCCCATACCCTAACCCTAACTCGTCTTCTCTCTAGCCGCCACCATCCATTCAGAGTTTACCCAGCCGCCATCTTCACCCCTCTTACTTCCTCCGCCGTTGCTAGCCTTTTGCCTCCACTATCGGTATTGCGAAGCTGCTGTTGAAGACGTGAACCGCCACCCCTTCACACTCGTGTTTCGACCGGAAAGGCCACCGACGACCTCTTGAGGCTCTGCCGACGTTGTTCCGATTTTCCTTCTTCTCCTGTTTCCTCTCCGCAGCAAGAAACCGGCATCCGCAGCCTACCGCCTAGGAGATTGATGAGCTCGTGGTGTTTCCGTTATCAACGGAGCACGGTGATGAGTTCAAGGCTTGTATTCCGACAGGGGTGCGCTGTGTGGGTCATTTCACGAATAGAAGCGTGTTTCAGATCATGTTTGCGTGTGGATGCTTGATTGGAAATCATGGGGTTTGGAGTTGTGTTTAGAACGATGATTTGTAGAGAAGTAGGGGGAATCGGTGGTGATGTTATATGAAACTGATAACCTAAATTAGTGGGATGTTGATTGATTTTGTTTTCTTTTACCATAATTAATTATACTGTAGATTACTTTTATACCCTTTTATTATTTATTAGTGATTTAATTATTTCTTGAATTCTTATTGGTGCATTTAGACATACAATATTTTCTAAAAACATTTTAACGTAGCTCTCTCTCTCTCTCTCTCTCTCTATATATATATATATATATATATATATATAATATTTAAAAACCATATTTTTTTGTATAAATACATGACTTTTTACATTCAAACCATAATATTATATATATATATATATATATATATATATATATATATATATATATATATATATATATATATTATAACCATATTTGTCATTCACTATTTGGTTATGTGACATTGGCGTGACATGATAACGGAATAACATGAAATGATATTTGTGATTATCCAAGAAAACTTGATATGAATTTCATGCAAAATCTAAATTTAGAAACATAGAATAATTTATTTTGTTTGAAGCTCTTTGAAAGAGGATTTTTGTATAGTAATGTTAAGCAATGGGGAAGTATATTTGCAAGAATCAAAAATCATGAATATATACAACGGAGACCTTTGTGTTCTCGAGACATTATAGTTTGAATGTAAAAAAATTTATATTTATACAAAAAAAAATGTGGGTTTTAAATGAATAAAAATGTATTTATATTGTTTCAAATGTTAAAAAAAATTTATACGATTTCAAATGAAAAATGATCAACATTAAACAAAATTAAAAAAAAGTTAATATTGGATTCGAAATAAAAAAAATGGTGTGTCAAAACTGAAAAAAAAATTAATATCTTTTATTTAATTTTTTAACATCATTAAAATTGATATTTTAATTTGTCATAGGTCATCATGTGATATCAACAGACAACCTGGTTAACCAGAGTTATAAAAGGGAAATCTCCAGAAAAATTCTAAAATTTTAGTTTAATTTATGAAAAAGTCCCGAACTAATTTTTGTTTACAGAAAATCACAAAATACCGGCTAAAACTTCGGAAAAACCCTTTTTGGGCGGTTTCGTAGATTTAGCTGGTATTCTGTCATTTTTCGTTAGTTTGCTCAAAATATTAGGATTTTCTGAAAATTACCCGATTACCAAAATATTAGGACTTTTTTGGAAATTACTATGGAATTAATGGATATTATTATTAACAAATCATTTATAAACATAATTTTTTTTATTATAAACAAAGAAAATACATTTGTTGCTAATTTCTAGGAATAGAATGGTCGACGGTATACTTCTCTATTGTTTGTTGACCATTTCAAAGTCTCTATGTTCCTATATATCATTGTGTGTGTCATAATGAAAAGTACTATGTTAGGCGTGACCAATAGATGAGTTGATAATATTTATTAATACACAATCAATAAGTGCTATTAGGCATGATGCTATATGATCACGTGTTATTAGAAAATATCACTACACGAACATATAAATCTTTTATTATGTTCTTTAACCTAACTACCACCTAATCTCCAAATATTACCCGATAACAACCATAAAATTACACACATCTATCGAGAGTGAAAAGTAAACTTTGAATGACAATTTAAATAGATAATAACCTTTCACTTGTTTCCATATAAATTATCATTCACAGTTCACTTTTCATATTTTATATATGTGTGTTAGCTGATGGTTGTTAACATGTAAGGTATGAATGTTGGTTTGTAGTTAGGTTAAACAACATAAGAGGAACACCAACATTAGAGGAATGCTAACTAAGTTCATCTCACCATCATACCCACAACAATGCATAGGAAGAATGTAGAGAGTTTGAGTGGTCACGAAGCAATAGAGTACTTAGACCACCAATTTATTCTTAGAAATTAGCAATAAATGTATTTCTTTTTTTATAATAAAAATATTTTTTTATGTTTATAAATGATTTGTTAATAATAATATCCATTATTTTAATGGTAATTTTTAAAAAAGTCCCAATATTTTGGTTATTATGTAGATTTTGGAAAAGTTCCAAAATTTTGACCAACCTAATGAAAAATGACATAATACCGGCAAAATCTGCGAAACCAATCGAAAAAGGTTTTTTCGAAGTTTTAACCGGTATTCTGTGCTTTTTCATAAATAGAATTTAGTTTGAGACTTTTTCGTAAATTGGACTAAAATATTAGGATTTTTTTGGAGATTTCCCTTACAAAAAATAAAAATTGTAGCAAATTAATAAATAAAATATCAAGACAAAAAAATAATAATAATTTCGATACATTTTGGAACAGAGATATTTTTTTTTGCTTTCTAACATACTTTTAGCAAGGTAACATAATAACACCCATAACACAAACACCCAAAGGCCGCAACTCTATCCCACTATATATAGAGTTGGGCGTGTTTTATAAAACCCCCAAAATCCCCCAGGCTCTTTCCTCAGTCTCATTTCCTCCCTTTCTCGTTAAAGCTCTAAATTCCGATCAAGTTCCGATTACCCGATAGCTTCTTTTTTGTAACCTTCAAATATTCCGGTAATTCCTCCGACTCCTATTTTTATTATACATACTTTGATTGTGTGCGTTGTTGTTATAAGAAATGGATTCGTACTTGTTCTTTATTTAATTTCAGACATACACTAAGGATTTCTTTTCTTTCGCACAGAAAAGTTGTAGATGATTGTGAGATGAAGTAGACTGAGCTACTTAATCCTTATAAACGCAATGATCCTGTTATGAATGTTGAATTTCATTTATGTATCATTCTATTCTTACTAAATCTCTACCTTTTTTTCCAGGACTAAAGAATCAAATCAACTTGGCAATGGAATGCGAAAACTATTTCGCCGATGAATTTAAACCCGACAAGTCTTTACCCTGTTTCGACTGCAGTATCTGCCTCGACTTCGCTAAAGATCCGGTGGTCACTCTATGCGGCCACCTCTATTGCTGGCCGTGTATCTACAAATGGTTATCTTTCCCCACCGATTCCGGCGCTAATCCGCCATGCCCCGTCTGCAAATCCGAAATATCCCACACCTCCGTCGTCCCTCTTTACGGCCGCGGTAAAACATTTTCCGACAACGAACCTGGTGGCAAGACTACAAACACCACCGCCGTTATCCCGCCTCGGCCACACGCTGCCGTCTTATCCTCGCCCAGTTCCTCCCGTCAACCACCATACGGAAGTTTCAGTGACGGCGTCGATGGTTACAATCCGAATGTATGGATGTACGGAGAAATGATTTACTCGAGGGTGTTTGGGAACTCGCAAAGTTTGTATACGTTTCCGAATTCGTATCATCTGGCTGGGAGTAGTAGCCCTAGGTTACGAAGGCGAGAGATGCAGGTTGATAGATCTTTGAACAGATTGACTTTTTTTCTCTTTTGCTGTTTCTTCTTGTGCCTTCTCCTTTTCTAGTCCAGGGGCATGTTAGGTGAAGATTAATTTAAGAAGTCAATATCTGACGGGTGTATCTCTTGAATCTCATTGAATAAGAGGCATGTTAGATACACTCTTGAATCTTATTGAATAAGAGGCGGAGGAGCAGAACCAAATTATTAATTATGGTATTAATACATTAGACGTTATAGTGTTGTATACTTGGCATTATGTATATTTGAGATTATAGATTATATATACTTCTTACTTGTACATATTTATAGACAAAATTGCAAAAGCGGTCCAAAAAAATTATGTTTTTGATAAAAAAAAAAAAGGTTTAATGATGCATTATTAGTGTGATCTTGGATATTAATAGTGATTTTGGTTCCTATATACTTTGTAATTTATTTTTATTTGTTTTTTAATTGTTATAATAATTAAATTAATTTATTTAACCTCCTACTAATCTATCTACCCACTCCTTAGTCTTTAACACATCGACTCAATTTCTTTCTCTTAGTCTTTAACACTTCGACTCAATTTCTTTCTTTTTCTTCATTGTTGTTAGATCACCACCATATGTGAACCACCTTATTAATCGGAGACGTCACTTTTCGTTAGGCCACCCAAATAAGGCGACTTAGATTTGTACCTTCGAAAAAGTAGACCTGAAAACGTTACGTTGATTTTCGTAGCCGACGGCGTTGTAACCTGACTTTGTTGGAACCGTAACATTATCTGGCATCGAAGAAGAAATAGAGAATGAAACCCTAACTCTATGGTAACCCTGACGTTGTCTTGTTGATGATATTTGAAGCGTTTTCATATATGTGTAAGTGTGTGTGAGAGGGAGGGGGTGCGTTGTTCTGGAGAAAAGGGCAATATTTTGGAGAGGGTTTTCAGGTTGACGACGTTCTACCACAAAGGGTACCGTTGTCTTTCAAATATCTGAATCATTCCAAAAATACGGTCTAAAAATTTCGTTTTAAAATCATTTAAGAAAGCCATAATCCATCAATCATCACAATAAAATCATAAGTTATGTATCTCAAATCATCATATAAAATGTTATGTCAAAAATCATGTCTCAAAATATCAGAGTCTAAAACATCTCAAGCTGCATGAGTGGTGTGTACATTGCAATCATCCTGAGCTCTCCCCTTTGCTATCGGAAGTACCTGAAACCAAAATTGAAAACTATAAGCACGAAGCTTATTGAGTCTCCCCAAACTATTACATATCATACACATATACATGCAACTAGGAGATACGTGCCCCGTCCACACTTAGCTAAATGGGAGATACGGGCCCTGCACACACTCCGTTGGCTATAAAATATGGGGCCCGCCCACACTCAGCTACTATGAGATAAGGGCCTCGCCCACACTTGACTGCAATGAGATACGGGCCTCGCCCACACTCAACTACTGAACATACATATAAGTATCACACAGACAACACGTATAACTAAATTTATCAATCAGTCATATATATCCATACTCAAATAAAGCTATGAGATACGGGCTCCGCCCACACCAGGCTAACTGGGAGATATGAGTCTCGCCCATACTCGGCTACTAATCATACATATGCGGGCCGACCTTGGTGCCTTCAACCCGTTCTACTGGAGGACAATTCACCTCTCAAACTGGGTGCTGAACTCTCGTGTGAGGAATCTTTGATGTTTTGAGAATACTTTTACTTTGATCGTCTTTTACGATGATAGATGAATGATTTTGACTTAATTAAAATGAAAAATTTTACTCAGTATTTTTTGAACGTTATAAGACAAATATTGCGCGTGTGCTACGCCGCACAATAAAAAATGGTTTGAAGATGTTTAAAAATAAACAAAAACCACTTAAGTATAATGTGGTTGCCTTAGTAAGTGGTGGGGTGAGTGTAACTTGGGAAGAGGGGACATATGAGATTTTTTTTTACTAAAATAATAATAAAAAAAGAAATTAAAATTGATTTATTTAAAAGCATGTTTGTTGTTTCATGTTGGATGAACTCAAACCATACAAAATACCGAGGGAAAATGACTTATTAAGGTAATTAACTTTTCGGTATGTTCACATCCGGGTAACTATGTTTTTTTTGTACACATTTAGGTAACAAACTTGTTGGAAGTGTTCACATATGACCATTATGATCTGCTATAACAGGTTAAATCCTAGATGTGAACGTTTTTAACAAGTTCGTTACCTAGATGTGTACAAAAAAAAAATAGTTACCCAAATATGAACAAAGCGAAAAATAAAAGTAAATTGCACGAATGGTCCCTGTGGTTTGGGGGAATTTATGTTTTTGGTTCCTAACTTATTTTTTTTAAACTTGGATGGTCCCTACTGTTTATTTTTGTTACGCGTTTGGTCTCTGTCTTACCTAAAAAGACTATTTTGCCCTTATTAATTTATTTATTAATTAATTTTCTTATTTATGTATTTATTTTTTTTATATATTTAAAAAAAACTAATAGATGTATCTCCTCACTATAAACCTCAAACCACATTTGAGAAATTTAATTTGCATGGTCCCTATTGTTTATTTTTGTTGCACTTTGGTCCATGTGTTACCTAAAAATACTATTATGCCCTTATTAATTTATTTTTTAATTAATTTTCTTATTTATGTATTTATTTTTTTATATATTTAAAAAAAATTAATAGACCCCACATATATATATCTCCTCACCGTAAACCTGAAACTACATTTGAGAAATTTAATTTGGATCTTACCGGTCACCATCCCATCTGTCATCCTCCCCAATTCTTCTTTTTTTGGTACTTCAACTCTGGCGAACCAACATCATAACCTACTCTTTCTTCATCTTTAGTGGGTTATGGTGTTGATTCGACGTAGTTGAATGACCGAAAAAAGAAGGGATGATGAAGACCTAACAAAATTAATAAGTACACAATAGTCTTTTTAGGTAAGACAGAGACCAAGCTCGTAACAAAATTAAACAGTAGAGATCATCCGAGTTAAAAAAAATAAATTAATTAAAAATAAACAGTATGGGTCATCTGAGGAGATACAAATATGTGAGGTCAATTCATTTTTTTTAAATATGTAAAAAATAAATACATAAATAAGAAAATTAATTAAAAAATAAATTAATAAGGGCACAATAGACTTTTTAGGTAATACAAGGACTAAACGCGCAACAAAAATAAATAGTAGGGACCATCTAAGTTAAAAAAATAAATTATGGACCAAAAACACAAATTTCCCCAACCCATAGGGACCATTCGTGTAATTTACTTTTATTTTTCGTTTTGTTCAGTAATTATTATTTTTTGTATAAATCTAGGTAATGAACTTGTTAAAAACGTTCACATCTACGATTTAACCTGCTATAGCAGGCCATAATGGTCATATGTGAACACTTCCAACAAGTTTGTTACCTAAATGTGTACAAAAAAAATATAATTACCCAGATGTGAACATACCGAAAAATTAATTTCCTTAATAAATCATTTTCCCAAATACCGATCATAAAGGCCAAAATCACATACCAAATAAGATATTCAAAATTAGACCAACAATACATCATTAAATTTTTTCAGACTAGTGTTTTCTGACAACCACATGGACAATTTTATATATTGTCTATATAATATATTTGATGTTTTATCATTTTATTATGTTATAAAGTGATGGATATTGTGTTAATTTTGTTATTACGCAATCCTTATCATATCTAATAAGTGGTGTCGCTAATAAGCTCCCAACAAACAAACTAAAAGAAGATTTTTATATGTAGCTAAATATAACAAAATTGAGTATCCATATCTACCAAATGCACCTAGACGACATACATATACCGACACCATGAAAAGAAAGATGCATAGTTTGGTCATGTGCTTTATCAATCACAATCTTTAATCCATTTATTTTTTGATGGAATAAGATTCGTTTCATCTTTGTCTCCATTATAGAACAAATGTAAAACCATTTTATATATATATATATATATATATATATATATATATATATATATATATATATATATATATATATATATATATATATAAAAAGGACATGAACGTCATCTTACTAATCTCATTTAATGTTTAATTTTTTTGTGTTATTTAATATATTAATATAAATGTCTAAAAATTTACATCATAAAACAAATTTTCATATTTTTTATAAATTTTTTTTTTGTTTTTTTAAGAAAAAACGTAGATTTTTTATTTTTTTTATAGAAAACAAGAATTTTTGAAAAAAAAAAATAGAAAAAAATATTTAAAAAAAAACTTCAATATAAAAAAAACAATATTTTTTTTTTCAAAAAAAAAAAAAAAACTAGAATTTTTTTTAAAAAACTGCAAGTTTATAAAGAAAGTTTATTTTTTTCAAAAAAAGAACTGCTATTTAAAAAAAAACTGCAATTTTCTTTTAAAAAGGTAAAATTGTAGATGCATATATGCATATTTTTTCAAATGCATATATGTATATTTTTTATACTATAATATTCGTTAGTAAATCACAACAAATCTTATTTTTATTAATTAATCTATAAACATAATAGTATAAGTATTTTATTCGATACAAAATAAAATATAAAAAAATAAAAAATACTACAAATTTCAAAGCGTTTTCATGTATTCGTGTCAATATTTTCTTATTTTCTTCAATTTATTATTTTTCACCTCTTCAATATTCACCACAATTTCTTCCAAATCTACAAGAATAATAAAAAAAAGATTAATGTGAAAACACTCACAAAAATACATATAGATTTTCATATGATTGACATATAAATCACATGCGATTCACATATGAATCACATTTACATATGACATTATATGTAAATCACATGTGATTCACATATGATCATATGTGATTTACATGTGAATCAAATGTGATTTACATGTGAATCAAATGTGATTCACATATGAATCAAATATGATTCACATGTGAATCACATGTTATTCACATGTGAACGACATGTGATTTACATGTGAATCACATGTGATCTACATGTGAATCACATATAATTCACATATCAGTATATAATCTTTCTCATACCTTGTAAAGTAAATAAATAAAAGTATGAGGCTAGTGCCATTGAAGATAATAAAGTTCATTAAAACTTAAATAATTTTAACTCAAATAATTCAACTAGAAGATCAATAAGGACTTATATCAGATTTAACAAAAAAAATCATGCACTGAACAAAAAATTTAAAAAAGTTTAGTAAGATTGCCTTTTCTAAGCTTACAGAAGACAATGTAGAAGGAGGTGCAAAACCAAGCAATACTGAAATGGCAGCGGCTACTTCTGGAAGGGATAATGATTTGGACTGCAGAAGCAACATATGAAAATAAGATCAATATATGGCATAATATGTGATCTCATTATTTACACATAATT